GTTATAAATCTGCTCATTAGCGTGGAAGTCAATAAGCGAACTAGCGTCAGGCGTTACGTGGCTTATTCATTTAATTGCATAAACTAGTCTATCTCTAAGCGTACAATGCAAAGAATGTTTATCTTGGAGAGTTCCATTACTGAAAAGCCAGATCGAAACTAGCGCTGTCACGTAAAAATGGCGTATTTGTTTTGCTGATTATATTTTTTATAATGGTATGGGTCGCATCTTAGGAACTTTGCTCACTGGCCCAGCATGGAGCGCGGAAGCGTCATAAGAATGTCAGATCGAATGTAATGGCTGAGATCGTATTTACACTGGAAGAACGTTAGGTGGCTAAATCTAGATTAAGCGAACATGGGACAGCAATTATGAATCGCAACACTGCCCATTCAGGCTGTCATACAATTCGCCATGGAAAACAGTCATAATATTAAGAAACGTCAGTGCGCAGGCGAAAGCCAAAAGTAGAGGTATTAATCGTAGCCGATCGAAATCGAGCTGCTGACAGTTGCTTTTATTCTTCTAATATATCCACGGCATTTCGGTATGATCACGTGTAGTACTATTGACTTACTGTCGGTTTGTGTAAACTGGTTAAATGTTTTTATAATAAGATTATCGGCATCCGTTTTGAATTAATAGCAGAAGTACCCACCTTGCTTTTTTTGGTACAACACTGCGATTTACTAGTCATAATAATTTTGCCTGTCTGTTGTGATTTTCATTTTTTGATATTTTTTCAGAATAATTACGTTCCTCGTCGCAAAGAACTTGGGCCAAAGAAAATCGACGAACTTCACAAAGAAGTGGAGAAGGAACAGCTGGCGAAAAAGATCGAACTGCAGATTTACTCAGAGGAGCTGCACGCCGATCGAGGAAGGCGTAATCGTCAGCAGAATCCGCCGAGGTCATCAGGTAACCAGTTGCAGCCCTCCGCCACCTCGCAAAAATGTTAGCTCTCACTCGTTTCAATATTCGCACTTACAGGTCGGTCGTCTGGACCTATGTCGTCTGGTATGCGCGACAGGGACCGAGATCGTGATCGTGACCGAGACCGTGACCGAGATCGAGACCGAAGCAGTCGCAGTAGCATGATGCCGCCTTCTGAGTCTAGAAGCATTCACACCCCTGGTGCTTTATCGAAGGTTTGTACAGTAGACGAGGCGTTTTTTCCACTAGCTGATCCACTACCGCGTATGCGGGTGCTTGTTTAGCATCTGGAGAACAGCAACATGCGCCTTGGACCAGCTCGTCAAGGTTGGAGCACCAAATGTAAGACAGCACCTTCGATGAAACCTTCCGGCACTGAACGAGAAATGAATCTTCAAAACAGGTCAGACTTTCGTTTGCTGTTAGCAAGTTTTTTTATTAGCCTGTTAACGTCGATATACTGATGTTTTGTTGTCGTAGCGTAAGGCGCGAGTAAGTGCTTGCTCCGCAGTCTGTTATGGGTGAAGTGCAACCGGTCCTTCGTCAGCATCATCTTCCATGATCGCGGAGGTAGAGGCCTCAGACAGTGCTTCCAACGTTACCGATCCTGTGTCAGAGTCTCAGTTTCGGTAGCAGACAACTGGAGTCTGGAGCAGACTCCTTTCACATATTTGCACCAGGTTAACCTTGTCCGTTTCCTGGGCCTTCTTATGATAACCTGGACAAACAGTGGTTGCTTCGTCTTCCTTTATGGAAGCATTCGCAACACATGCCCAGCCCATCGTAGATGTGATTTCTCAAGCAGAACTAGCAGTGGCCGTACAGCAAGGCTCTCGCTGATGTCTGTATTCCTGACCATGTCAAGATGAGTTAGGCTAGCGAGTCGTGTCATAAAGCCCATTTCAGCCGCTTGTACCTGGGTGCGAAGCTTCTCAGTCACGGTCTACGACTCGTGACCGCAGGGAAGCATGGGGATAAAGATCGATTTGAATATTGAGAGCTTAGTTTTCAGACTGAGCTCTGCTTTAGTCACAACGGGTCGGGCTAATTCACGCTGAACGCCACTGGATACACCAATTCGCCGGTCGATCTCTTCCTCCAACTTTCCATCACTAGTAAATACAGTTCCGAGGTACTTG